TAAACTGCTGGCCAGGGCCTCCCCTGGCTCCCTGTCCTCTCCCATTGTGGTCTATGGTGAGCTCCCTTTCCTCGGTTGCTGGTGTCAGTAACACAGCAGGCAGCCTTGAGGCCATCCCTGGGTAAGGGGGCGGGCATTGGCACCCCAGGCTCCTGCGTGTCATGTGCCAAGTGCCGTGTGCTTTGCTACCACTCTGTGCCTTCCTAACAGGGAAGTTAAGTGTGTGTGCCTGAATTTATTCTTTGGGGACCTGAACGCCCTCACCTCGTGTTGCTGAAAAGTTCCTTGCTGTGCCTTGTGGCCATGTGGCTCTGACTGCCTGTGCCTGGTTGCCTATCTCACGGATAGCATGCTGTGACCATTCTAGGTTCTGGGGTTCTCAGAAGAGCTGGGCCTTTGCTCAGCAGAGAAGGGAGTGTCACTGCTTCTCCTTGAACCCAGAAGAGCCTGGGGTGAGGACCCACTGTGTGCACAAGGACATAGCTCACCTCTTTAGCCCCTCCTGCTGTGCGTATGGTGCCAGCTCCATCAAGAAACAGGCAGGGTCTCACTGCAGGGGACCACAGGGAGCCCCTGTGCCCACTGTACCTTTGCTCACAAGTGTATCAGGTACTTCCGACCCAGCTGCGGGGTCAGCTTTGAACAGTAACAAAAACAACAGAGCAGCCCAGTGCAGTGGTACATGCCTATAATCCCAGCACTTTGGGAGGCTGGGACAGGAGGATCGCAAGTTGGAGCCCAACCTGCAAGTTAGCAACTTAGCAAGACCCTGTTTCAGAATAAAAACAAAAATTTAAAAAGGGCTGGGGATGAAGCTTATTTCAAAGGCCCTGGATTCAATCCCAAGCACTGAAAAACAAAAAACAGCAAAGCAGCTCAGGCTTCAAGAGGCAAAGGGACTTGCCCACAGTCACAGGGATGAGAAGTGGCAGGGCTGGGACTGGAACTCAGGTGTTCTTGCTGCAGGCTTGAGGCCCCCCTGAGCTCTGCTGAGTCTGGCATTGCAGGGAAGTTGGTCGGTCGCAGGCTAACCTGCCAAGTGACCTCACCTTCCTGCTGCCCCTTGCTCCCCTGCAGGGATATCTTCCCACTCTCACCCTTCAGGGTCCACTGCCAGCCACCCTAGTCTGGGTCCCAGCTCTGCTCACCTGGAAATTGGGGATCATCACAGCACCTCCTAACTATGAGGGTTCAGTGAACTCTTCCCTCTGCCACGACAGCAGGCTACCACTGCACCTGGCTTCTCATCATGCTCCCCTCCCTCTGGGCTGCTGCCATCTATCTGGACCCTGGCCGGATGGGGGCCCCCAGGCCCATGCGCTGTGTGCCATGAAGGATACAAAAGGAGGTTTCTCTCTGGCCCAGCTCAGGGGGACAGGATTCCCGAGCAGGCAGCAGGGAGGGGTGCAGCCTCCTTTGGGGCCCAGCTCCAAATGCTACCCAGGCATGCCAGCGGGGGGCACAGACAGGACCTGGAGTAGGGGTAATTGGGCTGTGGGGGTCAGGGAGCCTCAGGACACACTGACCCATTTGGGACCGCGCGTCTGGGCCTGGCAGAGAGGGGAAGGAGTGACAGCCAAGGACAGCCCAGCCCCCACCCACAGGACAATGCCGCCCCTTGGTCCCTGTTTCCTCACTCAGAGTGAGTGTGGGAGCCGACTGTGTTCCCCACTAATTTAACCGAAGCCCACTGACCCCCATGTGACCCCAAGACTGAGGGCGAGGGAGGGGTCTGACCCACGACCCCAGCTGTTTGGTCCTCGGTTTGCTCATCTGGAAAATGGGCTTCTTGTCAGGCTGCTGGGAGGATGCAGGAGGACAACAGTCAGAGCCTGGCCTGTGCACAAGACCTGGGTCAGACACTGTCCTTGCTGCCCTGGGGGTGGCAGCCCAGTCCCGGGCCAGAGCTGGACACAGTGCTGCTTCCATCCCACCTGCCCTGCTCCAGCACACAGAGCTCTGGTGCCCATATGAGGCCAGCCAAGCTACACTCCTTCACAGGGTTTAGAGTTGATGGTGACCCAGAGCCAGGAGAGAGGCCCTAGGCCAGCGTCACTGCGTCACAGGGCCCAGCAGATAAGAAGCAGGGTGTAGGGTCCCCAGATCCATGCTTTGCCCAGCACATGTTCCTTCAGGCAGAGCGGGGGCTGGGGGAGCTCAGGGGAGCCTCCTCCATCACAGACAGAAAGGGAGCTGAGGTTCAGGGCGGGTTGGGAGGGGCCTTGCAGGGTGCACAGGCACTGGCATCTGTGAGTGTGGGGGGGGTGTCACATCCGTGTGTGCCAGCTCCCTTCCGCCCTGTCCCTCCCACTCCCCCACTCCACCCAACCTCAGGGCCTTTGCATGCACTGGGGTGGAGCCGTGTCTGCAGTCCCCAGCCCAGCATCCGCTCAGCAGGGGAATGAAAGAACAGGTGAATAAATGAGTAAGCGAAGGAGGGATTCAGTGAATGTGTAAACCAATGTCCTAAGCCTGTTGAAGTTGGGTGTGTTACCCCCCGGTACAGATGGGAAACTGAGGCTTAGCGCTTTGGCTTCTCTTCTCCCCCAGGGAAGAATGGGCTAGGGGCCAGGGCTCCTGGCACTGCCAGCAGCCGAGGACAGAAATGTGGGGACACCCAGGAATGGCATCCGTGCCTGCTTTTCCTCCTCTGGCTGACACTGGTGACTCACTCCCTGGGATCTTGGGCTGCTTTATCTCCTGGTGCAGCCGGACTTCGGCGGAGACAGAGGCAGGGGGTGGAGGTTCTCAGTGAACACCCCCTGCAGGGGGAGGGGGACAGCCAGTGCAGTCCAGGGAGGGGCTGGAAGCCGCAGCCAGCTGCGTGCCTGCCACAGTGAACCCCTCCTCCCTGGGCCTTGGTCTCGCTCCTGTGAAGCCCATATGGCAGTGATAAGGGAGCAGATGGGAGATGGGAGAGCCGCGGGCAGAAAGGGCTCCTCCAAGGTGGTGGTCACTGTGCACCTCCCACTGTGACTCTCACCCCATATCCCACAGGGCAGTGGCAGAGCACCTTCTCCCCACCGCTGCTGGTGACAGAGACTCAGCCTCGCTATGTGTAGTCCAGGCTGACCTTGAACTCACTGTGTAGCCCAGACTGGCCTCCAACTCCCAGCAGTCCTCTTGCCTCAGCCTCCAGAATGCTGGGATGGCAGGTGTGTGCCGCCACGCCCTCCCTGGGCCTAGTGGTAATAGTTACTACCCTATGGACACCCGACACTTACGGAGCATCTACTGCGTACAAAGCGTGCTGAGGACGTAGAGGCACCCAGTTCTGCCTCCCCGCCATGCTTGTTCTAGGTGAGGAAGCCACTTTCTGGCTGTCAAAGAAGAAAGACAGCAGTGCTGAGTGACTGCTCAGGCAAAGCAGGGCAGGGAGCACCGGAGAGACGGGTATTGGTGTGTGTTCGAGCACACTTCATCTGCCAGGGCCAGTCAGAGCCCTGCAGGTACCTAAACCCTGGGTCCTGGGTTGCCCTATGGGTAGCACCAGCTGCCAGCAGTTGGTGGAGCAGTTGCTCTGTGTGCCTGGTGCCCTGTGGTCTTTTCTGTCCATCCTTAGCACCCTACCACGTGGGGACACTGTTCCCATTTCACAAATGGAGAAGTGGAACCCAGGGAAGTAACCCGGCCTTGATCACCCAGCTGGGAGGGACTGTGGCTCCTACTCAAGGCCAGGGAGACTGGCCGCAGAGCCCTTGTTTGGAGCTGGGCACGCTTGGCCTCAAACTGCAGCTCTGCCATGCTCCAGCGCTGGCAGACTTCTTAGCCTCTCTGAGCTATGGCTTATATATATATATATATATTTTTTTTTTTTTTTCCAGTACTGGGAATTGAGCCCAGGGACCTTGCGCTGAGTGACATCCACAAGCCTTTTGTAACATTTGTGTTTTGAGACAGGGTCTTGCTAAGTTGCCCGTATTCTCAAACCCTGGCACTGATGGGCACAGCCCTGGGTGGGGCAGGGCAGCCTTCGAGAGCCTCTAGGCCCGACGGGTCAGAGTGGATGCAAAGGCCCAGGGGAGCCACAGACCCCGGAGGCCTAAAGGAGGAACAGAGAGGGCAAGATGGGCCCTGGGGCCTCAGGCTGAGGAGGACTTGGATGGCTTGGCAGGCAGGGCTCAGAAGAGTGGCCCCAGGGTGACTGAGGAGAAACTAGCATGGTGGGAAGGCTGAGGCAGAGACAGGCAGCAGCAAGGGACAGTGAGTGGGGTGACTCACCGACGCTGGAGCTAGGACTTAGCACCAGGCAGCGGCCTGGCCACCCCAACCTGGGCCAGTGGAGGTGGTGCCCTTGGGTGTGCCGAGGAGGAACCCCCAAGGCTGCTGCCATCTCTGGGCACCAGAACAGTGGCTGGATGTCCTGGGTGCCCTTCATGCCCCACTGTCCCCTACCCGGTCCCTCTGTCCTCCCCCTGCCCCACGGAGCCAGGTAGATCCAAAGCAGCTCTGTTGTTAGAGGTGGGGTTTAATTCGTCTTCCCTTGCTCTGTTTCTCTTCACTTGCCCTCCTCCCTCCCCTTCTCGGCCTCGCCAAAACTCAGCGTTTAAAAATAACCCTCAAATCTGGGAACAACAGTCCCTGGCTGACCGAGGGGCCGACTGTAGCCGTGCATGCCTGGCTCGTGACTGTGGACCCGGAAGGCAGCGGGGAAGTCCCCGCCAGGCGCAGATCGCATGGTGGCTTTGTTGGCTTTTCCGGATCATCAGCTACCTTCTCGGGCAGTTTCCCAATCTGCAAGGAAATGGAACCCAGAACAGTCACTGTCATTTGTCCCTGGCACCTGTGTCTCCTGGGGGCTCAGGAGCCAGGGTTTGCCTTTGACCTGGTGGCCCAGTGGCCGTGAGGCTATGCTCACATCACCTCCCTCAGCTCTCGGAGCCTGTTTCCTCCTAAGGTGATCTGGCTCACGGGGTGACAGTGTCTCCCTGCGGCACATTTCGACACCCCAGACATAGAAGCTGCAGGGCCCGAGGCTGGATCCCCAGAGGCTGGATTACCCCCAGGCCTGGACCCCTGAAACTGGGCCCCTGCTCCTCCCAGCTGGCCAGGCCCCCACCCGGAACCTTCCAGCTCTGATGGAGGAGTTGCAGGGGGCGGGGTGTCACCAGAGCACCCTGTCCGGGCCCAGCGTCTGGGCTCTGGGAGGACCAGCGGCTAGGTAAGAGAATGGGAACTTGGGCGGAGGAGGTTTTGGGAAGGACATGGCGCTAACCAGCTTCTTGGGTGCTGCAGGATTCAGGCTCCCAGGAATGGGGGCGGGCAACCTGGGGGCGAGTGATGCCCCCACATCAGCCCTTGTGCTGACCTTGTACTGAGGGAGAGCAGTGGGAGGGGCCTCCTTCATGCTGCCAGCTCCAGGACTGGGGCTCTGTCTGCAAAAGTGGGGCAGCCCCACCCTGCGGGGCAGTGGGGTCCAGAGTGTGCTGGCCTGACTCAGCCTCACCAGGCCTTGGCTTCCCAGGATGGGGCCAGAGGGGCCCAAAGCCCTCCCTACAGGGTGTTTTCCAGGCTGATCCTGAAGTTTCCCTGGAGTGAAATCCTCTGCTAAGCGCTCCAAAGCTGTAATCTCCATTCATCCTCCCAGGAGGGCTGGAAGCGAGGCTGGAGCGCAGAGCAATTGAGCAGCTTCCAGCCTGGGGAGCAGCAGCAGGGCGGGTGGGAGCAGAGGGCCCCTCTAGGCATCCTGGGACCCAGAAGCCCACATCGGAGACACTGGAGAGCCATCGCTCCCTTCTTTTCTTCTGGCAAAGTGGACCACACTTGCGGACCTCACAGGAATGGCACCTGTCGCCATAAGTTCCCAGATGTCCCTGCTACCGAGTGTCCAGTCTCAGGGTCGCCCGGGTGGCTGCCCCCACCCTGCCCGTGGCCCTGGCTTTGACCATGGCTGACACAGGGTGTGGAGCTGCTTCGGGACCCTAGCCTGGTCCCCTCTGCCCTGCCTGGCGAGGCTGAGCGCTCAGGAGGACATGGTGGCCCTGGGCTGGCTCCATGGGCCCGGAGCAGGGTCTAGGACAGTCCCAAGCCTGCAGAGGGGCCCTGTCTGGACTGTACACATTCTTCCCCATCTACTCTGACAGCCCTGCTGCCTGGGGTCACCTCTCTGCTGTGTGTGTCACCTCTCTGGCTAGGGCAGGGGCAGAGGGGCCCATGGAGTTGTCACCACTCGGTGGAGGGACAGGGAGTCCAGTGAAGGGTGGAGCAGAGCAGCCGGGCCAGGAGGGCCCGGGTTCCCCACCCAACTGCCCTCACCCTGCTTCCTGTCTCTGGACTGAGACTTCTTCTTGGGGACTGTCATTAGCCGATCACGCGTAATCTGTCTTTGTGACCAGCTTGTCTCGCTGGACGCGGTGCCCCCGTTCCATCTGGGTTTTGCGTGTGTCAGAGGCTCCTTCCTTTTGAAGACTGAGTAGTACTCCATTGTGTGCACATCGCGCTGTGTGTACCACCTGTCTGTCCATGGACACTTGGCTTGTGTCCCTCTTGGCTCCTGTGAATATTTCTGCTGTGAACATGGTTGTGCAAACACCTGCTCGTGTCCCTGCTTCCTGCTCTTTGGGGTGCAAATATCGGCTAGAGTCCTGAGTCCTGTTCTTGGGGGCATCCTCAGAAGGCCCACAGTATTCTAAACACTCACCTGTGTGTGCACGTGTGTGTGTTCCCATGTGAGTGCACATGTGTTGCCGGCATCCTCACCGGAAGACACAGGCGAGTATGCTTCTGTCAGCTCTGCCCTCTCTGTGTAGTTCACCGCCTGGTCCCTAACGTGTGGCTGCACCCGGCTCCGTGCAGGGGTTAATGGGGGTCACTGTTGCGAGCCAGCAGGGAGCTGACCCCAGCTGACCGGACGTGCTGGTCCCAGGCCTCCTTTTCCCTGCCCAGCCTCAGCACCGCTCATATCTGCCTTTGATTAGGTGCCCTTTAGCCATGAAAAGCACAGGAGGTGGCGGTGACCTGTGGGAGAAGCTCGCTCCTTCCAGAGATACCGGATGGATGGCGGCTTCCGTCCTCTGTCCTCCGTGCCCAGCCCACTCCCACCTCCTGCTGTCCTGCTCCCTCCAGGCAGCCTGGCCACCCACACACCCTGGGTCTCCTTGACAGGCAGCGCTGGGCAGATCGGGTCGATGCAGGCCAAACGATGACCAGTTGTGGGCAGCAGTCCCGGAACGCGCTCGCCCTGCTCTTCACGCTGCTCTTCTCAGCAGGTACGACTGGGCGGGCGGTGGGTACAGGGCCCTTCGGGGCACCCAGGGGGAGAGTCTCATGTTGTGGGGTTCAGGGGATTGCAGGAGAAGCCCCCACTCACATCTTCCCCTTCAGCCCCGTGGCAGAAGCTTGATGATGACAAATCACCCTATGTTACAGATGGGGAAACTGAGGCTTGGGGATGGAACTGACTTGCCTGAGACAACACAGCGCGTAGGGGGCCGAGATTCCAGCCCAGGCAGCCCGCCCACTCTGGGACTGCTCTCCGGCACTAGCCAGCCCCAGGCTGTCCTCAAAGTCTCAGGTGGATTCGCAGGTGGCTGGAACTCGCGCTACAAAGATGGGGATCAACCAAGCCCTTTGCGCTTCCAAATCAGAGAAACCCCGTTGTCCCCACTGGTCCCCCCAGGGGGGTGCCCACAGGGCCAGCCAGGGCCAGCACGCTCCCCCCCCCCCTGTCTCCCTCTCCCTTTCTCTCCCTCTCTCCCTCTCTCTCCCCCCTCTCTCTCCCTCCCTCTCTCTCTCCCTCTCTCTCTCTCCTCCCTGCCTCTCTCCATGTGCCTGTCTCAGTCTCTCTCCCCTCTCACTACCTGTTCACGGCCTCCAACTCCAGCTAAGCCCGGTGGTTTCCAGCCCTGCACCTCTGCTGCGTGCAGCTCCAAGGTGGCCTTGAAGGGTTGGGTTGAGGGGTGCCAGGCAGGTCTTCCAGCATGTAGAGCTGAAGCCAAGCCAAGGCCAGGACTTGGGCCACCGTTTGCCAGCTCCTCCTTCCTCTGGTGTCCCTGTTCATTGGCTCATGGGGTCCTCCCTGCTCCTGGGAGGGAGAAACCACTAGTCTCTCCTACAAGTGAGGAAATTGGAACTCACAGATGGACAGAAGCCTGTCCCAGGTCACCCAACAGGGGAAGGGGGTCAGAGATTGCTGGTAATGAGGGCCAGGAGCCACCTTGAGCTCTACTGGGCCCAGGCTGGAACAGGAGTAGGAAGGCTCAGCTTACACTCTGCTGTTTGCAAAATGCTTTCTGACAATGGAGGGCTGAGCTGGAAGCCCCACTTGTCTCCTCCATGGAAGGGATCATTGAGATTTGGGGCTGGTGCATCGGGTGGCACATACTTAATACCTCAGAGTCACAGGGTCAAAGACAGGTGGCCCTGGAGAGCTGCCTGACTCCAGTGCTGTCCCCATAGAGGAGGAAGGGGGGGGTCCCATCTTGTAGGAACACTTGCAGGATTTCAAGCCAGTCTGTGCACTCCGCTGCCCGGGGCACCACCCACGAAGCTGGGCAGTGCTGTGTGCTCTGGACAGCAGGTGGGCACCATGTGGGCTGCAGCCCTGGCCGACTCAGAGCCCCCCGCCCCCCGCCGCCTGCCCCTGCTCTGAATCCAGGGTCTCTGTGGTTAGAGAGAAGCAGCCAGCAGAGCCCCCTTAAGAGGTGCAGATGCAGTACAGCGACCCTTTTCTGAGGATGCTGATTAAGCCCCAGACAAGGTCTCCGGGATTTTCCATTGTACGTTGCTCAGTCTTGCTGCCACTCCTGTTTCTCCCCAGGGGCTCCACTCCTAAATCCCATCCTAGAGGGCGGGGCTCAGGCTAGCGCTGTGGGGGAGGGGACCAGGCCGAGCCCAGGGAACTCTGGTCAGGGCACCAGGGCTGCAGCTGCTTTGGACACAAGGAGGGGACTGGGTTTTGCACCCCGGCCAGCCTGTCATTGGCAGTGGCTCCAGTTCCCAGGAAGAGGCCACCAGAGCTGGCAGCAGAGCAGGGGACTTTGAAGCCAGGCCCTGCACCAGCTCAGCCAAGACACTTAGGCCTCTGAGCCTCAGTTTCTCCATCTGTCAAGGGGGATCTCAGACTTGCCTGCTGGATGGGGGGTGTTGGGATGGCACAGGGGCCCCTATCAAGCCGAGCCTCTCTTACAGGCCTGTCGGCGCATTTCCGGGTGTGTGAGCCCTACACGGATCACAAAGGCCGCTACCACTTTGGCTTCCACTGCCCCCGGCTCTCGGACAACAAAACCTTCATCCTGTGCTGTCACCACAATAGCTCGGTCTTCAAGTACTGCTGCAACGAGACAGGGTTCCAGGCGGTCATGCAGGCGAACCTCACGGCCGGCTCCGAGGGCTACGTGCACAAGTGAGTGTGGGGCCCCATCCCCTGGGGTCAGGGTCTCTGTCCCGCTCTGCCCTCTGAGCATTGGTCTTCTCATCTGAAAAATGGGCACATCACGGCCACGGCAGGCCTGTGCAGATGGTAAATGGGGCCAGGAATCGGAAGGCTTCCTGGCCTGGAATCTACTGGGCTCAGGGGTCTTCTTTCACTGGTACTCATTCAACAAGTACTGGCTGATGCTGCTGAGCCAGAGGTTACTCATCCTGGACACCTCATTTCCTTAGGGTGCTTAGAACCTTGGGACTGGGATCGTGATGGAGGGGACCACAGGATGGAGAGGGGGATTTGTGAGCCGAAGAGTGGTGGCAGGATGCTAACTAAGCCGTGGAGGACAGAGGCAGTGTGTGTTTATCTCAGGAGTGAAGCTGACCACCTTTTCACACATATGAGAGCTGTTTGCACATCTTATATGAGCTAGCTGCTTACATCGTTTACCATTTTTCTATGGCACTTTTCATCTTTTATTTATTTATTTATAGAAACTCTTTACATAGGAAATAAACGAGTTACAATTATTTTCTCAACATGCCTTTGACTTTAGGATTCTTTTCCCTTGTGCTTAGTTTTAATTATTATGTAACCACATCACATCGAAACTCCTGGTTTTGCTGCTTCTGGGATTTGGATCATAGCAAGAAAAGCTTTTCTTGTTTGAGATGGCTAAAAAAGATCCCCCGTGTCTTCTTCTATTTCTTTTCTGTTTTAATTTTTCATCACTGAACCTCTGGTTTATTATTTATACCAAATTTATTTTGATTTTGTTTTGTCTTTAAATATCTGAGCTTTTGTTTAAAGCAAATTAGCACTGATGTAAGTTTTGAGCATGGAATCCATTCTTTTTTTTTTTTTTGTCTCATTATTCAGTGCATTGTCCACCTCTCTGTTGACTTTGAACACAAACCCAGCCTGTATTGTAAGGTTTCGACTTTGAGGGTCAGGGTTGATGGCGATACTATACTTGCCGGTATCCTGCTGTGTTAATTACTGTGACTTGCTGTGTCAGCTACGTACTGTGTTCTAGAGTTTTACAACATGCATGTTTTAGTGTCTGCTTGGTTTATTCCTCTGGCTCTTTGTCACGTGGATGATAGAATTACCTGATGTAATCCCCACCCCCACCCCGGCTGCCGCCAACGAAATCCCGGATGAACACAAAACCAAATAAATCCGGCTAGTATTTCTTACTGAAATTCTATTGAATTCATAGGTTAACCCAAGAAATGACTTTTCCTGATGTTAAGTATTTCCATCTCAGAAAACGACCTGCATTCCGTTGGCCCCAGTGCTCTTTGGTAGCATTTTAGGGTTTTCTTCCTATGGTCATTGCATCCCTCTCTGCATTTATCCTTAGTTCTTTCCTTCTATGTGGCTGGTAACAAACGGGGTGTTCCCTTGGGCCCTGTCTTCTTCTGCCTGTTGTGTGGATGATGAAAGCTAACAATCTCTATAGATGCATTTTGCACCCAAGCACCTTTCTGAGATTTCTTGGCGACCTTTTCCAGTGGATTCTCCTTGGTTTCCAACCATGCCATGTGAGCAACGATCATTTTGTCTCCTGCTTTCCATTTTCCTTGGTGTGCTTCCCTTCCTGTTCAGCTGTGTTGCAGACTTTCCTGGTCAGGCATCTTCCCTTCCTCCTGTTTTAATGGGTGCCTCACAGGTTTTCCCAGGAAACAGGAAGCTGACTGCTGGGGTGGATGTGTTTTTTCCTGGTAGGAGCAATGGGCCCGAAAGGAGTGTTTGTTGAGTGACTATTGAAGAGGTGGCGGTGCTGCTGGGAGCCGTGGGTCTGAGCCTGGATCTTGCTGTCTGGTGTTGGGCAGGCTCTGCTGCTCCCTCTGGGGCAGGTGCACTTGCTCCCTGGGTCAGGCAGAAGATGCAGACTCCTTGGCTGTGGCCGAGCCTCCCCTCCTCCCCAAGCCCAGCTCCCAGCCCGCCTTCCTCAAATGTACGGTGTTTCCCCTGAATATCCTACCATCTGCTCAGCCTCAGAATAATTCTGTGTGTGAAGTTGCTCAGCAAGCCCTGTCCCTCACAGCAGGCCTGGAATCGAGCCCGCAATGTGGCCCCGTTGAGCCCCTTCCCTGGGGACAGCGGGAACGTGGTGCTCGCTGCACTAACTTGAGGTTTTGTTCCTTGACACTTGATTGTGGGGCTTGGAGCTCACGCTGTCTTCCCTGTGCCCCAGGGCAGTGCCACCCGTCACCAGTCCATTTCACAGGTGGGGAAGCTGAGGCAGGGAGCACAGAGTCTCTTCGTCATGAAGTCCCCAGCAGGGCCACTGGATGGCCCTGAGGTCTAGAAGTCGCTGTGATAATTCTGGAGCATCCGCCACAGAGGCAGATCTAGGTGGGGACAGGCCCCGGGCAGGGCCACCTGCACAGCACCTGGGGCTGGCTTACACTTTTTTCAGGGCCCCTGTGCACTGTGAGAGGTGGAGTGATGAGCTTGGCACCCACCCGTGAACGCCGGGAGCACCTCTCCCCCACCATGGAGACAACCAAGTGTCTCCTGACGACGCCAGGTGTGGGGTGCAGAGTCTCCCAGCTGAGCCCCGTGGCCCTGCTGACATTCCATCCCTTGTCGTCCTTAGCCACTGTCCCCTCCCCCGCACCGTGTTGATTTGGGGCTTGGGTGCTGTGGGCCTCAGAGGGGCACCAGCTCTGGACCTCCCCAGGCCTTTCCTGTCACCCGTGCTGCTGTGCCCCTGGGGGAGGTGCCACCAAATGTGTGCTCAGGATGCAGGGACCAAGGGATGGATGCTGGGGGCAGAGTCCCCTGCCGCTGAGTGGGGCAGAGACGATGGCGCCTCCTAACTGGGGGTGGGTACACCTCTCCCCAGGGAAGTGGGGGACCAGGGGAGGGCTTCAGGCTGGTTCTGAGCCCATGGACCCTGAGCAGGTCCCCCGATGGTGGCCTGGCCTGGAGCTGCCACCCAGCTGCCCGGATTCAGGGACTCTGAGGGAAGGGAGTGCCCAGCCCAGGGAGGTGCAGCTGGGCGTGTCATCCAGGCAGGTGGTGCAGGGCTTGACGGGGACGAATCCAGGGAGCTGAGTGGACCCACTCAGGGCCACCTGCCCAGCGCTGTCCTGGCCTTAGGTCCAGGCCTCTCGGTGGCGCAGGTCCCTCGCGGCATGGAGTGCATAGGCCGATGGGGGCACTGGTCCCATGCCCCCAGGGGGAGGACCAGAGTGGAGGCTGAGGGGCACAAGCCCTGTTTTGCCGCTGTGAGGCAGGACCTGCGGAGGCCAGGACAGTGTCACAACTGGTGTCCCCGCATCCCAGACAGCTTAGTGCCTGTCAGTAGTGCATCCCCGGGGGCCCAGGCCAGGGGTGACCCCCAGAGGGGCTCTGGGAGCGTCACGAGCTCCTGCCCCCACCCCACTGGTGAATCAGCCGGAGGCGGTGGTGACAGAACCAAGAGCTCCGACGCCTTATTTATTTGTGTTTTCCAGAGGAACAGAATGGTTTGTTTTGGTTCTGGCTTCCTGGCAGAGGGAGAGGCAGTAGCACTGCCAGGCTCCCTGCCATGGCTGATGCCCACTTCCAGCCACAGGGGGAGGCCAGGGTGGCCCTGTGTCGGGGGACGTGCACTGCAAGTCTTCCCACCAAGGCACCGGGCACCAGCTTTGGGGATCAGACACGGACCCCAACAATCCAGCACCAGGCTCAGGTGGACAAGTCTCCCAAGGAGTGGTCGGCTCTGTCCAGGGCAGGCACGGCCTCTGGGGGTGGCTTAGGGTGTCGTCAGCGTTGGTGGGGTTCCGGCACCTGGTGGAGGAGCCCCAGGGGTGAAAGCAGGCGTCTAGGAAGGCAGAGCCCTGCTCCAAGGCCCTGCCTTCGTGGGCAGCCAATGGCTAAGCCTTCCTGTGGTCCAGGGCAAAGCCCCAGAGAGCTCCAGCTAGAGTGTGTGACAGTCACGAGGGCCTCGTCCCCAAGCCCTCCACCCAGGCCTACCTGAGCATGCCCACTCACCAGGGCTGAGACCAGCGAGGGTGAGAAGCTCCCTGGAGCCACACAGGACACAGCAGCATGGGGACAACGGCTGAAGTCTTCCAGGCATAACAATGCCAAGGTCACCAGCACCCCTGGTGCCCCCAGGGCTGGAGACCTGAAGGCCATCCTGCCATCCACGTCCTTCCTGGGTGTGTCCATGCCTCTTTCTCCCCAGTCACATGTGCCGCCCCTGTGCTCTGTCCCTCCCAGAGCCTGGATGGAGGCTGTTCAGGACCCTGGCTCTGAGCCCTGCTGGCTGTCACGTGGTCAGTCTTGTGTTCAGGGGGAGTGAGAAGGGAGCTCTGTGATGGTCATGGATTTCGCATCCCTGGGTTTAACTGGGCCAAAGCCCACACTCCACCACCGACCACACGGCCCACCTGCCCTGCTGGGTGACCTTGGCAGCGGTGCTTTGCCTCTCTGGGCTGAGAGGGATTGAGCGGTTGTTGCACGCTTTAATCACATAGGCCAGCACTCCCCGGGTCCTTCCTCTTCCAGGCCCTGCTGTGATTCCACGAAGCCTCACAGCCACACCTCAGAGCAGAGCGCATGGTCACCCTCACTGCACCCTCGTGAGCCTCAGTTTCCCATGGTCACAGAGAGGGCGCTTTGCAAGCTGGGATTTGGGTTCACTGGGCTCTGACTTCCCGGCCCCCTCCGTCACCATGGGTATGGCCTGCCCCACTCCCTGCTGCCCAGCCAGCCCCAGGCCACCCTGCACCCGCAGCTCTCTGACCTGGTGGCCTTGAACTTCCCTCCTGCGCCCCCAGGATGGGGTGGGATGGGGACGGGGACCAGGACTCCCGCCCCACTCCACTCCTGGCTGCAGCTGCGCTTGCTCCAAGGAGACGCACAGTGCGACCGCTGCTCGGGGAAGGTTTTGTTTATTGCTCAGGAAACACCAGAAGAATCTGAGTCAGTCAGCCTCCCAATACCCCGTGCCTCACCGCTGTGGCTCTGCCCCCAGGGCAGCCTGCCTTCCATCTTCTACCTTTGACAATGCGCGAGGCCGGCATTGGGCAGAGTTCATTCCCCAGTCACGTGTTTGTAGTTAAATTGCAGAAATTGTAAAAGATCTGAGTCCTGCCAGCCAGGTGGGGCAAAGCCGAAGCACCCCAGGGTGCCTCTCCCTGCCAGGGGGTTTAGGGGGGTACAGGGTCCTTCAGGGACAGGATGTGGGGTGCCAGGAGCGCTGCTGCAGGGCCCACCAGGCCTGGCAGGACACACGAGTGTGCACTTGTGTAAGCACAACTGTCCTGTGCTCAGTGGGAGAAGCTGGCCCTGCCCTCAGCTCCTGGTGGAGGTGAGCAGGATGGGGGGACCCGCCAGGGAGCAGCGGGGACCCCCTGTCTGGACCTCTGTCCTAGGTTTGGTTGGCTTTGAGTTTTTCGAGACAGGTCTTACCGTGTACTTGTTACCCTCCTGTCTCAGCCTCCCCTGAGTGCTGGGATCAGAGACAGACACCACTGCACTTGGCTTTCATCTGCCCTCAGTTTGATCTTGAAATTTCCCTGAGATTCTCAGGAGTCTGGGTCCAAGTCCCAACCCTGGCGTCCCCAACTTTGTAGTCTCCGGTTCTCATTTCCTGTCTGTAAACTGGGGCCACAGCTTCTGAGTCAGGCAGGGCAGCTGGATCACAAGCCCCAGGCTCGGCTGTCCATGATGCATGCAGAGAACCTGAGCTCCACGAAGGCTCCCCACAAGCCCACACTCTGGGCCAGCTTGGGTAGCATCGCCGAGGCTCTGTGCTGGGTACCCAGGCCAAGTTCCACCCCGCCTGAAGGGCAAACCGTCCAGCAGGGCGCAAAGCCTGTGATGTGTTCTGAGAAACCCAGTGGCTTCAACCCAGCCCTGGGGTTGGGCTGGACCTACACTGGGCGTCCGGGAGGGCTTCCCAGAGGAGGGAATGGCCGGGCTGAGACTCACACAGGAGAGGGAGGCGCCCTGGCCAAGGAGCAGCTTGGGCAAAGGCCTGGGGTCGGGAACACCACAGTTGGAGGTGACTGGTCACCAGCAGGGTATCGCCTGGCCCCAGTGATTTGGGGACGATGCCCTCCCAGTCACCGGGCAGCTGCACGGTGCAGTTGCAGGGTGAGTGCTGTCCCCAGGCTCTGAGCCTGCTGTAGGTGGGCTCCCTCCTGCTGGGCTGCATCTGCATACAGCTGCCCCTCCTCCCTCTGCCCACCAGAGCTGCTGCCATGGGAACCAGAGGAAAAGCCACAGCCCCTGCAGGGGGTACCAGAGAGAGGGTGCTGGGCCAAGACACAGAGCCAGCCCAAGTCCTCCAACTTTGGGGACGCCCCTCTCCCCAACTCCTGCCCCAGCTCCCTCAATTGGGCTCCTGGCCTCCTGTCTCTGACAGGAGCTCTGGCCCAAGGCCTCCAGGCAGAGCTAGTGTCCCCTTAAAATAAGGCAGCTAGAGGCCTGTCAGTCATTCACACTTCAGCATGAACAAGTCTATACGACTGTTTCAGGGTTCATGGCGGTGGTGCCCGGGAGAAGGATGGAAGTAGGTACTGAGCCTGAGCACCTGCCCTCAGGCCACCCAGTCTAAGTGCTCAGAGCTGGAAAGCCTCTCCTCCAGAGTCCCCAGGCTTAGTCTAAGGTCTTGGCCAAGATAGGGGTACAGGATTGCAGCAGGGCAGGGAAGGCCATGTCCTGGCCCTTGAGCCAGCCCTGGAGGGAACCAAGGAACCCAGAAGTACAGCCCCACCGAGCCTGGAGAGGTCCAGCCCTGAGCCCAGGCCGGGCCAGGCCTCACAGGGTTCTCCTAGAGCCCAGAGACACCTTCGGGTCTTGCAGGCTGCACAGCAGAGAAGGCCATGTCCCAGGCCTCTGACAGGGTCCCTGCTGGAGTGGGGGCGGCAGCACGCTCAGCTGGAGGGGGCTCTGCCCCTTGAACACCCACGAGAGCAGGCCACATCAGAGTGGTTCATCAGGCGCACCCTGTGCAGCCTCTGTCCCATGGCAGCCCTGTCTGTCAGAGCTATAGTGGCAGGGCCAGGATGCAGCCAGCCTGGGGCTCTGACCCCAGCTTGGCATGGGGCAGGGGCACCAGGCCACAGGGACTGCAGGGTCAGCAGAGGGTCAGGGTGTCCGAAGCCAGGGCTCCAACAGGGACAGAGGGAGGGAAGGAGGAAGAGGAGGAGGCACAGCACACAATGGCAGCCTGGCGCAGAGCCTTGAGGGCTGCTCTCCGGTGGGGAGATGTGGGGCAAATGGATCAGAGAAATGGCAGAGGGGGCTTGGGGTGCCCGCCATGCGGTCCCAGTGAAAGAGCCCCTGTGGTGGACAGAGAGAGGGCAGGCAGCCCTCACAGGCAGGAGGCTGGTGAGTAAAGACGGGGTGCTGAGCTGAGGCCCTGGGTCCTGGGCCCCTGGGAGGAGAACTAGGGGGGCTCTGGGGGCCTGGAAGGGGGAGCACCAGCTGGGTTCCAGGGCACATGGATGTCAGGTGGCCCTATGATGACAGCCCTCCAGCATCTGCCCCAGGTCCCGAGGGGCATGGCCACAGGGCAGGGGCATCGCCGGTGCAGGCAGGGGAGCCACGGCAGACACAGGTGGCAAGGTACCCCAAGGTGGGGGGAGCTCTGCACACCCAGCTTGGAGAGTTTGGCTTCCCTGCCATGGCAGCAAAGTCCAGGACTTCAGGGACCCTGGCCCAAGGGCACAGGGACAGAGACAGCTATTCACCAGGATGGGCCACCAGGGAAGGTGGTGAGGGAGGCGGGTGGCGGGGAGTGAGCCCCGGGCTGCAGGCTCTGACCCCACGGGCGAGAAGGTGTCGGTCTCCTGACTCAGCCTCTGTCCTCTGTCCCCAGCAACTACACTGCCCTGCTGGGAGTGTGGATCTATGGCTTCTTTGTGCTCATGCTGCTGGTCCTGGACCTCCTGTACTACTCCGCCATGAACTACGACATCTGCAAGGTGTACCTGGCCCGCTGGGGCATCCAGGGACGCTGGATGAAGCAGGAACCCCGGCGGTGGGGGAACCCAGCCGGGGCGCCACAGGCAGGGCAGCCCGCCCCGCAGCCCCAGCCTCCCCCAGGGTCCCTGCCGCAAGTGCCAGCGCCCCAGGCAATGCACACGCTGCGGGGAGACACCCACAGCCCTCCGCTGATGTCCTTCCAGAGTTCGTCTGCCTGGTGAGTGACTGCTGTCAGCTGCTGCAGCTGTGGATCACTTTTCCTTGGCAAGCCTGGAAAATGCCAGATGATTGGGGCTGGTCCATAGTTTCCTGGTTATTTGTTCTTCTTGTTGTTGGCCAAGAGGGATTTGAAGGTGCCCGAAGCGGCACACACTGGAAAGTCAGATGAGAGGTAGAAACAGCTCCGGAGCAAAGCTTGCTTCCAAAGTCACTGCACTTAGAGCCCGGTGTGAGATTTACAGGCATTAAACATTTGGTGGAGTTTAGAGTTTCCTAGCTGGCAAGGCAAAAGGAGCAATTGGATGACTTTTTAGTGTTTTAGGGTGTGGGCAAAGGAAACAAATCAATCTGTCAGTGGCTGGCGATATTTTTAAGCATGAAGTGACAAAATAAAAATATTCATTGTTCCTGTCCTGTACAGACCTTGAGGCAGTTCAGCCATGGCTCAAGGGAAAAGGAAGAAACCTGCAGGGAGGGCTTGCCCTGGCAGGGTCCAGATTGGTCCTCCTCCACAGTGGCTCCCATTCTTTTCTGCCGGGTTCCAGGGCTGGTGGGGTGGGGTGGCATTGTGCCCAGGGGCCAGAGTGGGGGTGGATTCCCAAGCCAGGTTTCCAGTTGGGGTTCAGCCACCATGGGGCTGAGCTGCAGCCCTACGAGCACGGGGCTGGGGAGCCTGGTCCCTGGAGCCACGACCTGAGCCCAACTGCCAGATCTTCCAAGAGCTTTCTGTGAAAGGTGTAGCCTTCTGTGAGGGGCCACAGGTTCAAGTCCATGGGCCCAAGGTCAGCTCTGCCATTCCCAGCTCCTTTGGCCCCTTTGACCTCGCTTCTCACCTCAGAAAGGAGTCAAGGGTAAGGGAGGCTTCAGCTGCACACCAGGCACATGGTAGGTGGGCAGGCAGTGGACTTTCCCTGAATCCTCTCTGGAGGTCCGTCCGAGCCAGCTAATGCTCATTTAAATATCTCTCAGGTAGTGACCTTTTCAATAATGAATGGCTTGAATAATTGATAAGATGCACTTAAACCAGCCTGTGCTTATTGATTGTGTAATTGCCACATTTATCATGCAGGAGACAGATGTGGCCCTGCTTGGCTACATTTGACGAATGTACACTGAGCCTGTCCTCAGGGCAGGGCCACCAACCCGTGTCATCCTGAGAGCGGAAAAGCCAGTCCGTGAGGGGCCTACTGGCCAGCCTGACCGTGGGGTGTCCTGGAACGTGGGTGTCTGGACACAGACATCTCCAGAGTGTGTGTCACACTGGTGTCCTGTTGACCACGAGGCTCTGAGGGTGGAGCCTGCAGGCCCCAGAGTTTGAGAGCCACGGAAAACAGGCACAACGGAGATGCTGACAGACAAGGGTGTGAGGTTTGAAAGGCAGCTCCGGAGCCAGGGATTTAGCGCAGTGGTTCTGCTGCCTGCCTTGCAAGCGAAAGGTCCCGAGTTTGATCCCCAGTACCAAAAAAAAAAAAGGCAGCTCCGTCAGCATGGGCTCTGTGGGTGCGCAGTACACAATCGCGGGAACAGTGCACGCCCACTGGCCCACCCCCAGGAGGCCATGTGGGCATGGCGTGGGCACCCTGCGTTCAGGAGCCCGGCACCTGCCTGCCTGCCTGCCAGCTCCAGGGTGCCTGGGAGAGCCCCTTCTGTTGCCTCAGCAGCCCGGCTGCAGCCACCCCCGAATGTCCTCAGGTCCAGTGACCCTTGTACACCCAGCCTGTGCCCCACGTCCCTCTCCTGTCCCTCGCTTGGCTGTGAGGTGACCCCAGCTCCCCCAGCTTCTCTCTTTCTCACTTGGGGTTGGGGCGTGACAGACACCACTGGCCACCTTGCTCCTGGGGGAGTGGGCCAGGGAGAGCGCAGGGGAGACAGGCAGGAAGCCAGGTCGCCAGCTGGGCAGGGCAGGCATGGGGGACAAGGCCCAGACCGAGGCTGGGTGCGCTCAGGGATTGATCCAGAGTCGCCGGGGCACCTGAGGGAGGCCAGAGCTGGGTGGCCAGGGAGCCGCTGGGTCACCTGCAGTGCCACCTCCTGGCCCTTGGCTCCCCCAGCCAGAAAGCCCTAGGATTGTCACTCAAGTGGCCATGGCACAGCCCCGTCCTCCTGCTCCCAGGGACACCCACTCCATCCCTCTTGACAGCTGGGAGTGCAAGTGTCCTGCCTGTGGGGGCCGGGGGTCCCCATCCTGCCGATGGCAGATGTCACCATAACTGAGTTAAGGAGCTGCCCGGGACCCCGGGGTACAGTGGTGACATGCAGACGCCTTCACTTAATTTCAGACACCCTGGGATGTTTTCTTCATTTGCTGGAAAATGAACTAGGACTGTGATGGTTCCTGCTCAGGTTCCACAATGCCGGCTCCCTGTGCCCGCTCCCTGGCCCCAGCTGCCGCAGCTCCTTTCCTGAGTGTGATGGAGCACTGTGTCCTGGCTAGCACCACCATGATGCCGCTCCCTGGTGACTCGGTGCCTGGGGCGTATGGTTCCCTGGTGACAGCCACCTTCCCTGGCTTGGTGTCTCCTTGCACACCAGAGGCTCTGGTTTCTCCTCCCCAGCGTTATGACCTCAGCCAGCAGCCTTTCACAGAGGAGCAGTCACGGTCCCAGAGAGGGTTAGCAACCTACCTAAGGCCATGTAGTGAGTCAGGGGCTTGAACCAGGGTCTCACAGGCCTCCTCTACTTCACCCTCTTCCTGCCTCACTCTTCCACCCAGCACCTTCCACCAGCCTGGTCCCCTAGAGCCTCTTGCCAATTTCTCTTCCCACAGTGCTCTTCTTCCACCCCACCCTGGCAAACTCCTGTTCATCCTTCAAAACCTGCCCTGAAGTCACAGGCCCCACTTGGCCCCAGAAGCCTGATGGGGAGTGGATTGTGGAGCTAAACTGGAGGGGAGGTGGTTGCCCTGGGCCCAGCCCTCGAAGCCTTTTAGAGCTTGGGGGAAATGCCTGACAGGAGAGAGTGGTTGATTCCACAGGGAGGTGCCTCCCATGGCCGGCTCCTCAGGAGCTGGTTAACACCCTCAGGTCTCTGCCAGCTGGGCTGGGCACTCGTCCTCCACCCGAAGGCCCTGGCCCTTGGCAGAACTCCCTCAGCCTCGGTCCATGCTGCCCAGCAGCTCCATTACAGCAGAGTCACTCTCTCCCACCTGCCAGCAGAGAAATTCCTGAAAATTAGAGGGCCAGAAAGGGAGAGGGGCTGGTGTCCAGTTTCCTTGGCGTGCCATCAGGTACCAAGGAGGCTTCCGCCACTGGAATTCCGAAGACAGTTAAGGTCTGGCGTGGGATGGAGTTTCAAACCCCTGGGGCTTCCAGCTGGCTGGGAAACCCCAGCTCACCTCGCAGTTTCTGTCTTTCCTCCTGGCTGTGCAGGAGTTAGGCTTGGGCTTACTGTGCAACCTTGGGCAAAGGCTTGCCCTCTTCGGGCCTGTGCCGGCTCCTCCTTACAAGGGGTGATAAACCTGTGGAGTCCAGCCGGGATCCAGTTACAGGTGTGACGGTGGGGATCCAGTGTGTCCCCCAGAAAGGCTCGGTGCGTGGAAGGCCTGGCTGCTGCTGGGCTTCTAGGAAGTGATCAGATCTGGAGTCCCTGATTTTCTCAGTGGAAACCGGAAGTGGAGTAAGGGTCGTAGGGCATCAACTTGGGGGCCATAGCTGATCCCTTTACCTCCCTACTTCCTGGCTGCCACATCTTTCTGCTGTGAGGGAGGGAAAGCCGATCAACACACCAGGGTAAGGCTGGGGGGCCACACCCCTCACCGATTGCCCTGTGCTCCAGGCAGCTGTTTAATGCTCTGGACATTGAGAGTCAGCACACCCGGGGTCCCCACGTCTCCGTGGGAGACATCTTGTTGAGCGCTACCCACAGATGCTTGGTACTGGGAAAACAGTAGCCTGTGCTGGGTGCTCTGCAGCCCAGGGACTGTGGGCTCCTGGGTCAGTCAGGACTCACCTGTCCCTGGGGCAGGTCCCCAAGTGTCCCCCGAAGCACATGAGGCCCAGGTTCCAGGCAGCTGCACACCAAGGCCTCTCTGGCTGGGTCCAGCAGCAGCCTGAAACTCAGTGTGGACTTCCCCTGACCCCAAGGGTTGAAGGGGCTGTTTTGCTGTGGCCTGGTTGGATTTGTTCAGTTTCAGGATCCCTGTCCTGTCCCTTGTACCAGTGGCAAAGGTCCTTCCAGCCCCGGAAGTGCTGGTCCATTCACCTGGCCTCCACGCTACCTCCTCCCATGGCCAGCACTGGTCAGCGGGGAGGACCTCACAAAAGCCCGGTGCTGGCAGCTCTGCCTCACTCTGAGCCTGCTGTGGAAACTGTGGCATAGCGCAGTGAGCCTCTGTCTTGGGTCGGAGCTTAGTTCAGATCCCGGCTCTACATGCCCATGGGGACCCTGAGACCCACCCACCCTTCCATGTTGTGGAACCTCAGTGTTCCCGTCTGTACAGTGGGTGCAAGTGGACTCAGCCCATAGGATGACTGTGAAGGTCAGGACAGGGCTTGGTGCCTGGCAGCTGCGTCTGTGAGCGTGGATGTCGCTATTAGCCTGTTACTGTTGTGTGTGGGGTAGAAGTGGAGAGAGAGAGAAGGAGCCGCCCAGAATCCCACACAAAACAACATCTACTTCACATTTTCCTGCCTTGCCGGGCACGCGCTGCTTCTGCTCTTCTAATAATAACGTGCACGTAATTTTGCATTCTGATTTTATTCAATTAGCATTAGCTTGGCCATTATCCTGTGAGTTTACTTAATCTCTCTAAATATCATTTTAGCAGCTACCCAATAGACAAAATCCCACGTGCTGGCATTCATTTAGCATTTCCCTGCAGCAAGGCATTTTGACAGTGCACTTCTTTTTCTTTTTTTTCCCTATGACAAATAAGAGAAGCAGGGGCTGGGAAGAGGCATAGTCTAGAAAAGAAAAGACCGCAACACCTTCATGTGTTCTTGGCCTTTGCCTTTTAAATGTTTTTTGTTTGTTTGTTCGTTCGTTGTACTGGTGATCGAACCCAGAGTGCTCCACCACTGAACACATCCCCAGCTCCGCCTCTTTTTTTGGAAGCACAGCTCATTAAGCTGCCCAGTCTCAACTCAAACTTGCAATCCTCCGCCTCAGCTTCCCTCAGTGCTGGGATCACAGGCATGCACCATCTCCCTTTCTTGAATTGTTGCCTCTAGATCCATTCCAGGCAGGGAGATTCTGAGTCGTCGGGGGCGGGGGGCGGGGGGGGGGTGACAGTCATACATCCCTTCGTACCAGTGCCAAGCTCCCAGGGGCAGCTTATTCGGGGCACCCTCTTCAGCGCGAATCTCTTCGATTGTCAGTGAGTTTGAACACCTTTCCTTTCCATCGTTAACTAATTCTGTTTTCTCTCTTGTGAACATCCCCTTTATTTCTCCGTGCCCCCCAGACAGCTGATAATTGCAGTCATTTTCACAAAGCAGCCTTTCTTTCCCCAATCCCAGTCCTTGCCGGTCCTCTTGTCCTTGAGCCTCCCTTGTACTATTTACTTAAATACCTTTTGAATTGACTTTAAATCAAGCTGTCCATTTAGAAAACTCAGATTTTCCCAAAGCCCTGTCGTCTTGGGCTTAGGGGTCCCATTTGTCCTTGCCGTCCTCACTGGTGCTGAGCGTTGGCTCAGGGGGAGCCCAGTGACTTGGGGAATCCAGTGTGATACAACAGAGCCACCCCTAAAAATTAAGTCCTAAAATCTTACAAATAAATACCCGGTAACAGGTTCGCAGGTAATAAACATCCCAGGCTTCCCACTCCCTATTTACTTTGGGGCATTTCCTCCTATGGTGCTCTTGGGTTCCTTGCTTTTGTCATGTCCGCTCTGGGGACATCTGTGGAACTGCCCACATCCCGTTGGCAGTGTTTGTGCCCTGGAAACTGGCAGCGGAGTGTTACTGACCCACACGAGTACAACTTTGTATTCTGCTCTTACTCAGGTGCACAAACCCCTGAGAACAGCCAGGTCCGTGTCTGCCACGGGCCTAGGGACTTAGAGCTTGCACACTGGTGTTTACCACCTTACCTAATCTCACCTGCCCCTGTCTCACGGCCGTAGACAGAGAACCTGTGTGCCAGGGTTGCCCCGAGACAGGCAGCTGGTGTCCAGGGCAAAGGCCACGGTGGTTCTGGGAGGTCCCTTCACCAGCTCTTTCCAGCTCCTGGTCCTTCTCAGGGCACAGGAAACCAGGGAGACCAGAAGGCGCAAAGCAGCACCCGCTTTGTGAACTCGCCAGCCCCTCCTGCTCCTTCTCTGCCCTGCTGTCCTTGTGCACTACCACCAGTCACCCACAGTTCATGCATTTACCCGACAAGCGTTTATGGAAGATCAGCCACAGAGGCCCTGCCCTGCGCTAAGTGCAGGGACATGAAAGGCAGAAGACAAAGGCGCTGTCCCCAAAGAGCCCTGTCCAGTGATGCGCAGAAAATCCACCATGACCCTCCACTTACTTTGCTTGGAAAAATCAATGTATCCGGCCGAGGGTGGGTGGCCCTTGGAGAGAGTCTGGGGAAATCACTTTGCAGAGGCACTGTAGGGTAAGCTGGTGGGAGCGCAGCTGTGTGCAGGCCCCAGCCCAGCCTCCTGCAAAGGTGACACCATCTGAGCGCAGGGTCAGCTTGGTGGCGGGGAGGACTGACCGTTTGGGGCTGGATCCCTTCTGTGAAAGTGGAACAGGGGCACCAGACCCACTGAGGTGGCGTAACAGGGCCGCCCTGTCCCTGCCAACACCGTGCCTGGTGGCCAACACGGAACCAGCCCGGGACTGAGCTCCCAAGGCTGGGCAGGGACCCACGCCGTCCCACCCAGCTCAGTGGCTGGAATCTTCAGGAAAATTTCCCCAACACGGTGAGCGCTGGAAACAAAGATGTCTGTGCACTTGAGTAATTAACAGTCGTTTCTGCAGAAGCTTCTGGTCAGCTGGGCAGAGAGGGTGTCACTGTGTGCCATTCGACAGAGATCGTGTAGTCACCCTGCGAGCTACAGCTTGGGGGCCACAGAGAGAGCGTGGTCACCGTCAAGACAGAAACGTGGCCCGGCTGATGGCTCTTGTGGCCCCCCAAACTGAGTTCCGGGACTCTTCACAGTCCAGCTTCCAGCTGAAGCTCAGGGTACGAACAGGCGAAGAAATCCATCTTGGCCATCGTCAGCGCGGCCCAGGAAGGGGCAGAACATCCCTCCCGCCTCCCCTATTCTCCCTCCAGGAAAACTCTGCCCCCTGTAACTGCTGAAACATTTGCTTCTCAGAATAAACGTATGCCAGGATGGTAAATCTGTCCCAGTGCGGGTGACTGCTCTTCTGATGCCCTCAGCACAGCCAGCCTGGGTGTCCTGGGGTTTCTGAGGCTCCCCGGGTGTGTGTGTGTCGGAGGGCGGGGCGGTCTGCAGACTGCTTTGAGGATAGCATGGGAGCGTTCTGCCAGGCCCTGTGTGACTGCGGCTCTGGGCTGCCTGGCTGTGTGTCCTTGGGCAAGCTGTGGTACCTCTCTGAGCTGCAGCGTGACACCAGGGCAGGAACCAAAGCATCTCCACTGTAGGTGCCAGGGGCTGGGATGGGACGAATGGAGGGAGGGAGGACTCACGAAGCAGCCATCTCTCACCACTGCCTGCACGGGGACAGGGTCCCTGCTAGTCACGAAAGATGGCTCTGTCCTCAACTCGGCTACCCAGTGCGGCTGTCACAGCTGTCCGGGTTTGGGGAGACAGAGGCAGCCGCTTGGGGCCTGGGGTCGGGCAGGACAGAGCTGGGGTGTGGCTTCAGAGCTGCCCACAGGCCAGCGTGTGTCCTCCATTCCCGTTGCTGCCAGCGCTCCAGGGCCTGGGGTCCTAGGGTCTCTGAGATTTGGCCAGATCTCTGCCCATGCTGCTGAGGGAAGTCTCCCAGCCTGAGATGTCCCTTTCCGACCTTCACACCCAGCTCCTGTGACAAAAGCCTGGGATCAGGAGGGCATGGGGGGACTTAGCCCAGCCCCTGCTCCTAGGAAGGGTCCCAGAATCCTCCCCTCCATAACTGCCATGGGTCTGCCCACCACTGCCATCACTCACATGTTCACAAGAGGCGCACGTATGTCACTCCCAGGTCTCCGCACAGATGTGCCTGGGATAGACTGATCACATAATGGAGCACTGCACACCGTCCCCCTTCTATCCGTGGCACGTCTCTCAGGGCCCCTAGAAACAGAGCTTCTAGATGGGAAAGTCTGTCCGTTAGTCTAAGGACGTTGCAGGGCTGGTGGTGGGTGGGGTTGGATGGAGCCCTGAGGGCCATGGGTAGAGCTGACTGCAGCCACAAAGGCAGGGAGCCTGTGGGCATCGCGCAGTGGGCCTGTGCAGGTGCCGGGGGACCAGGGCAGAGATGGGAGGGGCAGAGGGGTCCTGAGTGGCTGGGACAGGCAGGTCACAGGTGAGCAGGAAGTGAAAGGATGCACACTTGCATGCTTAGGTTTGACCCAGACCTCATTTCCGCCCTGCAAGCCAAGGATTGGACAAACAGAAATGGGGCCAGGGAAGAGCCAGACTGGAGGGAGCACAGAGTCGGGGTGCCAGGGGCAGGGGCACCAGGCATGAGGGTGATCCCCAGTATGGAGCAGGCAGAAGGCACGTCCTTCCCAACGCCAGACTCCAGGTCAGGTGGGGACACAGACGGTTGAGACCCTGTCACCTGAAGGTATTGCCTACTCCCATCCTCCTGGGTTCCCCAGCCCTGAGGAAGCTCCTACTTATCCCTCAGAACCCTGCCAAGCCCACTCCCCTTCCCAGCCTTCCTCCCTCCCTGGGAAGACCCCCTCGTGCTGCCCCCCCTGTCTTAGCCAGAGCCACAGGCCCTGTGTCCAGGGGATGGGTGAGGGAACATCTGTGTCCACCTGGTTACCCAACCTGCTGTTTCCCCTCGGGAGCTGAGGGTTTTCACATTTTTCCATTTTAAACCTTCTGACCTTCTGGAAGACTAATGGAAAGCTGACCGGCAGGACAGTGATGTAGAACCTGCTTTGAGCACTTGCTGGCAGGAGGCCGGAGATGCTCTGCTCTTGTGACGCAGAAGACAGCAGCTTGGGGCATTTGATAGCATTTATTGTAGAACCTGCTCTCCTTGTAAAGCAGCGGCATCAAATATTTACCAGGGTGCCATTAAAAATTAACTTCAGGATGTGGGTGCGCAGAGGCCTGAGCCTTCCCGAAAGTCAGCAGGGTGAGGTGCCAGGAAGAAGGACTCGAGCCGCACGCCCAGTGCCAGAGCAGCCTCCAGCCCTGCGTTGTAGAGGCTCCCAGGCACTCAGTTCCATGTCCATGGCCCTCGGTGGCTTGGCCTCTGCCTCTCTGGGCAGCTGAGATGCAGTATGGGAAGCAGTGAGGCTGCCCAGATGGAAGGAGACCAAGGTGAGGAAGGGAAGATGCAGGCCTCAGAACAGCATGTGCAAAGGCCCTGAGGCAGGGAGCAGGTGCATTTGTGACTCAGAAGGAAAGTGACAGTGAAAGGATAGTTTGTGAAGGGGCCCAGGAGGGCCGGTGGTAGAGGACATAGGTGGGTCTGGGGTAGAAGTGGGCTTCTTTATTTGAGCCTTTCAAGGGAGGGACATGAGCTAATTGCCCCACCTTCCCCAAACTGGGGACTAAACCAAAGGCCTTTGCACTGAGCTACATCTCCAACCTTTATTTTTAATTTTTAATTTCGAGACAGACTCTCCCTAAATTGCTAAGCTGCCCAGTCTGGGCTCAAACTTGCAGTTCTCCTACCTCAGCCTCCTGGAGTGCTGGGATTACAGGCGTGCACCACCACACTCGGCTCTAATTTTCCATTTTTTGAAGTTCCCCATGGCAGTGAGAGGGGAAGGGATCTGGGAGACCAACAAAGAGGCTGCAGCCGTGTGCGGCTGGGATGTGGGTGGTGGCGCCCGGGACCGGCTGTGGACAGGGTGGAGAAGGGACAGGAAGCGGGAGCCAAGGAGGGTGTCAGGGACTCCGGACTGAGCGCAGGAAGACGGCTGCGAAGTTTCCCAGGTGGGGGACCCGAAGCAGGGGTGGCTTTGGGGCCAGCTCAGCTGCATCCCATCCTCAGGCCGGGGTGGGGGTTGGGAGAGCACAGCACAGGGGAGGCTCAAGGCGAGAGCCTTCCCAGGAGCGGGCCTGGCCGAGCCACAGGCTGCTCTGCCCGCTGCCCATCAGCCCACGGTGCCTGAGTGCTGCCCCCGAGGGCCCGTCCACGTGCATTCGGCAGGCTCCAGGGTCCCGGGCACCGGGCACCGGCCTGGCTGGTGCTGACCGGCCTCACACCTCCCATCTGCCTCTGCCTTCCTTTCTGAGGGGAAGAGAATGAGGCTTCACTTTCCACCCTTTTGCTTAATGCGGAACAGAGTAATTCCAGGTCATCTGAAAGCAGGAGCCTCGCTTTGGTGGCTTCTCGGTCTCCTGGGGCCAGGAGTGGCTGCTGGGGCGTGCAGGGTGGCTGGTGTCACCGCTGACCTGCACCACCACCTCCCCGGACACGGGCATCAGCACTTCCTGCCATTTTATGCTTTTGAAAACTGAAGTCCTTAAAGGTCCAGAGTCACCTAGTGAGAGGCTGTCACGGCCCAGGTCCCAGGAGGCCACTTGTCCCCAACACACAGATGCAAACTGAAGCTGCTCTCACCACACCCAGGGCTCCCGGCCTTCTGTGCTCGACCTCCTGCTCTTCGGCCACTGCCTGGCTCTGCCCTTCTCGGTGAACACTGAGGTGCTCTGCTAAGAACAAGGTAACAGTTCCCAGGGTCTCCGCTGCCTCCCTTTTGCAATTCTTTCTCCCCACTTAACAAGGCATTCATGTATCCCACCCCTGCTGTGTCTGTGTGCACCGTCCCATGTGATCCCCACGAGAATCTCCACTGAGCACTTGAGCCAGCCCAGGCTCAGGAAAGGAGAGGCAGGGACAGACTCGCACCCAGGGCTGGTGCTGATCAGAGAGCCGAGGCCTGAATCCTCATGTAATTCTCATTTGAAGCAGAAGAGGAAGGAAGCTGTAGGGCAGAGGCCCCATGCAAGACGGGGCTGGGGCTGAGGGGCCCAGAGCCCAGCTGACCGCAGAGGGAGAAGGTGCAGTAAGCACATTCCAGGGCCAGGGAGCAAGGACTTCCCACCAGGCAGCCCCACGGCACCCCAGGCTCACTCTCCTTGATGGGTAGTGAGTCTCCCATCGCTGGAGTGTGCAAGCCAAGGCCAGTCCTTCATCTCCTGAGGTCACTGCATGGTCCCCCTGGGGCCTCTGTTCCCAGAATCTCCAGTCCTGCCCTGAGGTCTTTTCTGAGTCTGCTCTTGCTGCATAACAGGTTACCCTCAGAGTTAGCAGCTTAAAACAGCAAAGCTTGGCTTCCGCTGTCTGAGTCAAGAACCTGGGTGTGGCCCAGCTGGACCGGAAAGACCATGTTGGGGCTCACACACTGGTCCCCGGCTGGAGACAGCAGTCACTTGGCCTCTTGGTGGCTGCTGCCTCCCTGGGATGGGGCCCTGAAGGAGACCACCTGGGAGATACCCAGCCCGAGGAAGCCACAGTCCTCCTGCAGGCCGTCCCCAGCACTCAGTCCATTTACCTGAAGACCATAGCTCCCACTTGCTCCTGGAGCCACAGACTCCAGATCCCAGTTCAGCAACAGAGACGATATCAGTGTCCTCATTGGCTCAGACCTAGGCTCAGAAACACACCTTCTGGTCCTGATTGGCCCTCTATGGACCACACTTCCAAATCTTAGCCAATTACTGTACCAGAGGGTGGGGTATAGTAATGGATTCATCCAATCAGGGTCAGTCATGAAGCTGGGGATTGGGTTAGACTGAGGTCCTAAGAAGCCAGTTCAGGCTCTTCAGCGGGAACCAGAGGACACCTGTTCCTGCTCACAGAAATGACTGGTCTACATGCAGGTGTTTGTAAATTGCCAGAGCTGCACGAACAAGGAGCCCAGAAACTTTTACCCAAGCAGAAGCAACATATCTGTGACACTGCACACTTTGCTCAAGGTAGAGGTGTCACAAGGCAGTGGTTCCTATAGGTTCCTTCAAAAAACACTTATGAAGCAGATGCTGCATTCAGTGGCTTCCACGAGGCAGCCACTGGCTCCTGGAAAGTCAGGTAATCTCAGCACTCTGGGAGGCTGCAGCAGGAGGATCACAAGTTTGAGCCCAGCCTGGGCAATTTAGGGACTCAATGAGACCCTCTCTCAAAATACAAAATTAAAAAGGGCTGGGGACGTAGCTCAGTGTGACGGCCCCAGGTTCAATCCCCAGCACCACAGGGGAGAAAGG